CATATTATAGTGGTTGCGATTGAAATATATCGAAAGTCCGGGTTATTCAGAGCAGACCGAAGCGAAATTGTTAGAACATTGGAAAAAGACGTAAAAGGCGTTACAATTAAATTATGTTAAAGAAGCACACAAAGGCAATTTTAAGTATGAGCCTACTCAATAAAGCAAACCTACCGGCGAATATAAAACTAAAAGTAACCGCCAGGTAAATATATTCGGCACTTTGTCCGGACGATGGCTTAGCGTACGATGAAACAATCAAGCTGTGGACATTGCGACATTAGCCCATGGAATAGGCAAACAGATGCCGACATCCCATTCAGCTGCATTCTAACAAACTTCAATCCCTTATCTCACCGTGTCCTGCGAGACATGCAGAATCAAGACGGCATTAGAACAGCGGGCAAGGCATTGCCAATAAGCTGGTCAAAATGAAAGATTGCCAACTTACGCGGTCATGCGATACTACTGGTTTCACAGGGAAATAACAGCACACTAAAACGACGGACGTTAAATTTTCGCTACCGAGAACAGCACTCAAACGATTAGACAGACTTAAGAAGGGTGGAGGGATAATTTTAATATACAAAGCGACCTACTATGCGAAGCCGTGGATTGTTCGGACGGATGCTTCGACAAATCTCATTGACGCCACCTCCAATTGAGTGACAGCGACACCCGACGTAGAAGCAGTGTACCACCACTAAAACTACACTTAAAATGTACTGTGACTGGAGAGCACAGTACTAAAACTCCTGCAAAATTTAGAGAAGGAATCAATACGGACCTGCAAGAGCTCGTAAACTGTGTTCAAATATATATGCACGTCATTATGCCCACCCATTCCAAAACAAATAATAGATCATTTCCCCCTGATATTGTGTTCACCAAAGGGGAACATATGCTTGATGTACTCGTAGTAGGCTGTTCTTGCTATCTAGTGATTATGCAGTCATCAGGTTCGACTTCATTTGGTATGCGAAATGTTGTCACGAAAACCTTGTGGTTGCACGCATCAATACACTCCAAGATCTATTCGAACAGCCACCAGTTCTACCACCTTGTCGTACTTCAATGAAGGTCACTCGGAAGTCGACTGCCTTAAATTCGTTGACAAAATCAATCAGCTGCTTACGGGTGCTTCGAAGACAATAATTGTAATATGCCTAAAGCCGTTTCCGTCGTAAGGAGCTGACCTAGAAAATGGCGTGCGGTACTCAAAGTAGGCTGACGAAATTATAGACACCACCAGCGCCAAATAATTAGGATAAATATGTAGCCCAGCGTAACCACTGCACTGTACCATTTAGACAGTACTAAGCCGCATACTAATAGAAAACTGTGTAATTGTAGAACTTAACACAAGCTGCTGTCAGTGGCCGTTGTAAGGTGAGGCCGATAAATCTTCAAATCGCGACGGCAGATGCTCTAACTAGAACAGATATAGAAGCAGCGAACGCGCTGAGGACGCGATATGCTGTGAATTCCGGAGAGTATTACCATCACGCGATCTTCCAGCATTAGTCTTACTAACTCCGGAGCTTACCCACATCTCTTTCATTACCAAAGCTCTATTGCAGAAGCTGAAGCATCTGCGCCTCCACAGCTCTCCCGCAGTCCACATTATTCACGCATAGGCACTGGGAGCAGCGGCATGGCAACTGCGGTACATGTGCTTCGGTTATTTTAGCAATGCTTAGACAGAACCAGTCTTTTCTAATGTGGAAGCCTGGAATTATAACAGATTCACACAAGCGGAAATAGAACTGAGTCCGCGAACTACCACCCAGTATTTCTTCTCCAGGGACATCAAAAGAAATTGGAATTTATCTTTGCCAAAGTGTTAATGTGTAAGTTCGAAAATTTTAATATTAGTGCATCCGCGGAAAGCGACTTTCGTCGGTCAAAATCGCACACAACGAATTAATTAAGCGCACGGAGTATCTGTATCCATTCAACCAACTTGGAAAAATCGTTGTATTGTTCTACTACTACGATGTGTCGAAGGCATTCGATCGTTCAGATAATTGGAGTATTCTTTCATGCTCCAATATCATCGGTTTGATTACCATTTCCTGAAATGGATCGCCAACGTTTTCTTGCAACGCAATCAAAGGTTGGATCCCGGAGTTTCTTAGCAGATCACATAATATTAAAGGTTGGTGCGCAATGGGCTCAGTTCTACGATCACTATCCCTTTCAGCATTAATAATGAACTAAAACCGACAATCGCATTCAAAGTCTTAATGCTTGCTGACGATATAAAGTATGAGCAGGATTCAGGCGGATGCCGATTTGAATTTACATCATCGCGACAACCAATATTACTTTAGTGGTTAAGACAAAATCCGCAAATGCAAGGTACTCTCTGCACGACATCAGGATGCCCACTCTGGTAGTTTGGAAGTTTTGCAGCAATCATCCGTCGAACGCAATCCCTGCTTGCATGTGCAGGGCTGCCTAGGTTCTTCCGAGTATACAGGAAAGCGTGGAAACTGATAAGTAAGACGTCGGCCTGCTAGATTAGGCGTCCGGAATGTGGACACCTCTTTTTATGGCAAACATTAAATGCGTACATTATCCCCAATGTTCATACGTAGTTCAGGCCTGGTTATCATAGATGAAGCACGACGTTACTGCACTGGGTCAATCTCAACAACATGCTTCCAGAAAACTCATTGGAATACACCACCTTCCATGTCAGCAGAAGTTGATTCTTTTCGGAATATCCGGCAGACGTTACCGCCGAGTAGGAGGTGAATAGATAGTGATGTGCCTTACCTTGCATAATTAATTCATGTGAGTCAGTTATTACATCAACTCAAAAGCAGCACCTATCCTCCAGGTCACCCTTGAAATTAGTGAACATGCAAACATTGGAGTGCAACAGAAATTTACTTTATCATCGTGTCTGTCATCCATGGGAAGACATTCCTGAATCGGTTGTGCACAAATAAATGCCCTATATATAGTAATGATGGATGACGCACTTAGCCACTTATTCCCTTTTACTAGAAACTATAATCCATCCCACTGCGGAGAAAACAAACATCATTATCTTTGCGAATGGAAGCATTGGGAAAGCCGTGATTTCAGGCTAATGAAGCGAATACGACATTCCGAGTCATTTAAAATTTAATTCAAAAAGTGCATTTTTTCCACAAGTTTATTGTGATAACAAATCAGCCACCCGATATCAAGAATACATTATTTAATTAGTTAAATCATGAGCCTTGTAAGGCAGTTCTGTTTCACCCGTATAAACAACTAGCTCCATGTTACTATAACCACTGTGTAATGTGTCACGAACCAAAATCCTACTCGACAACTTGATGTCCCAATCAAAACAGAAATCCGGCTCACCAAATTTGCTTATTCTACCCTCGGACAAATAATGCGCAGTCCTAACATTTTCGGTCATCTTGACCAAGGCAGCGGCTGGATTCAGACGAAGCAGCATAGTTCGCGTTATTCCATGTTTTGCATGAATGGAACAGGTAGGTTTCAGCAATCATTATAAACAAGTTCGCAATCAGTATTTGCATTGTTGGGTGTTTTATAATGGGAGGTTGAATGCGTCTCAACATAGGGTCTACTTTAAACAGTGTTTTACTTTTGACCACATACTTATTAAAAGTAGCGGCAGCAAGCTAGACCATGGTCGATCGTGCTCATAGTGGCTAATATTTACGTATCCAAAACATAAGCTCTTATGGTGCATGGCATTAAGTGGAAATCTGACAGATAACGCCTTCGAAAACCGTATCCATGGTGTCTGAATAAATTTCCGAAACACGTGGTTGGCGGTACGGTTTCGGATTTGCTTGTCACTGTGACCAGCCACAGGACGCCTGCGCCTACAGACGGATCATGGTTGGCTTGCGCTGCACCACCCACTGCTCCAACCACACACACAATATCCAGTGTAAACCCGAAGGAATAAGACCGGGAGGCATGTGGATGGGAGCCACGTCTCATCAACGGAGCCGGCCCACACTCCTTCACAGGCAAACACAAGCACACTGTATTTGGCGAATCAAGCGCACACAAGGCGGTGTCTGGACCGTAGTCCGCACCACATTGAGTGATTGGAGCAACTCTTCTAGCCTAGCACGGCCACGAGGACAGTGCACCCCATCCCCTCCAGCAACGACCAACTGTCTCCTAGAGACAGTATGGACGAGGTAGTGGGTAATAGACAGGTAGGCACTTTGTCAACATGCACATCAAGCGTAGCTACACCGGGGATATCAAGCAACAGCCAATCACCTGGAATGATAAGATGAACTAAAACAAATCCAATAATGCATACAGATACGGTGGCATAACTCTAAGCTAAATTAGCACATGAAGTAAGTTGGTTAGCAACGAATCCGCGATAAGGAAAAAATGTCCACAAGTTAGTTAAAACTGCTACAAATCGTAACAGTTACCGAAGATAAACGCAATTAATGTAAGCAAGGTGGCCAGTTAATAGAAGAATATTCAGGTAGGCAGAACAAACCAAATAAATTAGAATGAAATGTAGCCAGCTTAAAAAGACCTAGTTTAGGTGTAAGTTGGTTTAGCCCAACTACGGTGCAGAAGCATCAAGAATGCTACATCAGCTTCAGCATGGGGCACTTCCGAAACACATAACATTTCGGCCAACAGCCCCTTTCATTACACTTTTTTCTCTCGGCACAAATATCTGTCATGTAATTGTGAAGAATCCTGATAAAATGGCAGGAAAAAGTGGCACAACGATTCTGATTACTCTGTATAACCTAATTTGTAATTGCCCCATGTTTAGTTCTGAAAATGTGTTGATGAAATGTCATGGAAAGCTTGTACCATTATTTGATCTGTTCCTTCTAGGGAACAGCTTCTCGCATCGTCGAGGAATATACAATTTATTTATTTATTTAAAGAAACGGTAATACTTTGTCCCCTATGTTTTCAAAGGATGCTTAATGATTCATCATATAAAAAGCATTATTACAGTGGGCAGAGATACTCACCGGGTGAACTGGTCACACTCTCAGTCGAAGGGCTCGAAGTGGACGCCGTGGATGTTGGCGGCGAGGTGCCGCCGGATGACTTGCTTTGAGCTGTAAAATATATCGCAACAAATGTTGTGCAACGTGTAGACACAATTCATGTAGACTTTATTTCGGTTCCACAGAAGTATATTTGTAGAATAGTATGTCATATAGTGGAAATGTCACATCCCTAGGGTTGAGTGTCGTGTTACACACCCGCTTCATCCAAGCGTGCCCCAGCTACATACACGACAATTTGTGACTGTGTTACCATATTGCTGTGGATGTATGCAGATGCATGTTAATTAAAATTAATACATTAATCGCCAGCTGCACGCCGTAACGGCGCTTCGCTGCAACGCGGCCACCACCATCCGCGCGAGTGCTGAGTACACCGCGAGGACGCCCGCCCCTACGCGGATTCGAATCGGTGACCTTATGGTTGCGAAAATGACGCACATACCACTCGGCTATCGGCCGACACAGTAGCGCGTTACAATGCAGGTGATCGGTGAGAACACTACCTTGAGTTATGGAGAATGTTACACTGCACGACAACTCGTACCACAGTGTTTTCAAAGCTTGTAGACGTCCTGCTTTTCAAAATGCTGCAAAAATACTTATACGCATCTTCCTACAGGCTAATAAAAATATCTCAGCGCAGAAGATTCGCGATAAATTTTCACAATGAACATGCAGAGAAACATCCGTGCTAATTTTTTTCTAAATATAGCTATTTGTGGGGTAAACCAATAATCACAATTAAGTCATGTTATTAGCTGGAACTTTAAAAATACTCTATACATTACTGATCCAAATAGCATTAATAATGTATTCAAATAAGAAAATTCCTTTGATGCAAAATTCTATTTGGGGCCGAAAACATCCAATCGCCAATGTTCCTAAACTACGTAGCTTTTAGCCAATATTGTCCGTCAGAACTTTGCTATATTATTTGCCTATGTTTATGCGATAGCTTAGGCCAATTTTGTACAAGCTGATCTGTTTTGCTACCGACAGCATTTACCGCATCAAGATAAATGTACGAAGTATTATGTTAATATTCTCTGGTTTTATTAATACCTAGCGAATTCAAGCAATACCTCAGCATCCGAACCCGTGACATCACTTTTGCTTGTCTGTTACTTACACAACGGAGCCACACTGGATGGCGAGTCTCCAACCATTTTCATATACAGGTGCGAAATAGCACAGCTCATCCGCAAATGGCATGTATGGTTTGAGCAACCAGAGAACAGGACCAGCCCAACGTAGCTACGGCTAATTGCATGCAGACTACAACAGAGTTGGATTACTGATTATTACTGAGTGGTAGGAGAATTTATTGTGTAAATGAGAAGCTCGATGCAATAGGGCTCTGTATGACATTCATCACGTTTCATGCAAAAGTTAGGCAGTAATTTAGTCCGGTATGGGCTTGTCAGTATCGCGCACCCGCAATGTTCTGCATAATAAGAAGTCGTGTCTTAAATGTTTATAATAGATTATTTGTGTCCTTGAGTAACGGTGAGTGTGGTATCAGCCATAAGGGAAAATCATGACGGAAATAATTTAAGCATCGTTGTGAACTTGCAACAACAATGCGATTCTTACTTGTTGCGCTATTTCTAATCCCAGAAGTCTTCGATTTATGCCCCAAAAGTCCGGCGATTTTGTTCACGGCAGACGCTGCATTCAAAAAGAGCAGGGTTATCCGCGTAGTCCATGTTTTATAATGATGAAACTGTGAAGTCAGTTTTGTCAAATTAGCACACCCATATTGAATCAGGATTTGGGTCTCTAAATACGTAACATGGGCATTGGATTGCAACTGGACACGGCGTTAAATAAAGATGAACCTTGTTATTTTAGCGTATAATCATTTGGAGAGAAATGCGGCCAACTGAACCTTGCTTCATTTTGTTTGCAAGCAGTTTTTAATATGTGTTCTCATCGTTTCTTCATGTTGTGATTAGCATAAAGAGTGAACATTACACTGTGTTTCGAATAAAACCAAACATGCATTGTAAGACACCAGCAATTTCCAGTCATAGTTCGCAGGGCGATTACTTGCGGGATACACCTTTTCCGTTTTATATTTTTATGTACCGTTGTCCAAGATGAATTTAAAGACTTATTTTTTCACCCAGGATCTTCTCATCTCTGTGTGTACTATTTATTTCAACTTTCGTATACTCTGGTTTTTCTAATGGGCAATAGGCTTTGTTCATTTCTTGGTACCTTGTCTAACCCATGACTTGAGAAAGTAGGCACCAACTGACCAGGCAAGATTATAGTTGTAGTTCGTTGCAGTCCCCTCTGTTAGAAGAATCTGTTCATTCTGAAAAAGCACCAGAAAGCTGAATCGACCTCCTCTGTCTCGTCATTTGTGCACTTTGCCCTAACTCCATGACTTCCGGATGCCAGCAGCTTGCACCACTCAGCAATAGTTAAAGGCCGAATGCTTGTACGACTGGTAGTTTACTACCATCGAAAGAAAATCAGCAGGTAGAAACATCTATCGGGTTTCATGTCAGAGGCTTCTGATCGAAAGAAAAGTGCGAGAAACTACATCTAAATTTACATTCAAATCCCTAATGCTCATTAATGAAGAAAAGTCCGTGCGTCTATATTCTAAGTGCTGTGTCGTGTACATTTGCTTTACCGAAAGTCACGAGCAAAACATTCTCCTCTTCACAATTTGTTACTGGTATAACAGTGGAGGATGAGCCGCGCTGTATTGTAGACAACTCTCAGTCATGCATGTCCTAGGCTGTCACCCATTGCTTGTTGGCACAAGCTGCTGAAATCCAAATGTCACGGCATCGAAACCCGGCGAAGGTCCAAGGAGCGAGCAGCTCTGATGACACCCAGAGTGTCAGCACAGCTCTCTAGTAATTTTTGGACTTATTGAAGCATGGTGACATTAGAGACCGCGACGAAATACATCTGCTAATACACCAATTTCGCAGCTACTCATTAGTAACCAAATAATATTTGTTGGATTTATCCTGTTTAATTTTCGTCAAGCACTCACAATAACAGATATATTGGCCGTGAAATCCCAAACCCCCACAAGTAACTCCATATTTTGTACTGGGTAGCATCTGTGACCATTGACACAGTTCATTTGCATGACATCTCCGTCATATTGTGACGCCCTAAATATTTCCTCATGTTGACGCTCATAAAGCTCGCAACTTCCAATAAACGCTTAAGTATTTAACGAGATTACTGTGCTGCCACCGATACGGGCAAAACTACATTGAGTTAGCCGGCATCCTTGCAGACATGATCAGTATTATCCATGCTGCTAAATTGCATCCCAGCATTTGACCATTTGTTTATTCAATAAAAAGCACGCCGTAGTTAATGTTAAGTTTGCAAGAAAGCGAAAATCGTTGATGTCACACCATCTCGGAGTATTATCTCGAAAACCCTACGATTGGTGAACACTTAAAAACAGAAAACAAATATAACAAGCGATATTATTTCAGGTAACCAAACAAGTAGTCTTGATTTCTGATTTCGCGACTGGTGGTGGTCGCGCGGCAGCGAAGCGCCGTTACGGCGTACAGCTGACACATTATTTTATTTTGTTATATTCAACGGACGCAACCCTGCTGCCGGTTTCGGTGTGAGCCAACGCAACCATCTATCTAATGCATACCTATATTTGTGTTTTGGAGAATTTGCAAGAGATGTTTAACCCATGGATAATGTTATCTCAAATGTATCATCTTGTGTAGAATTTGGATATATGCTAAGCTAATAAATATAAACAAAAGAGTAATAGTGGGAGTTGAATGGTATAGGTCGAAATTCGTCACATCTAGACTCACTCAGAGAGCCGTCACACGCCCGGAAAAGCGCTGTACGCGCGTTTCATCCTTTCGGGAATCATCAGCAGTGGATAGTGAGCGGCGCTATATCACATCTATTAACTTATTCACGATGGTCGTTGCCGTCCCCCGTAGCTTAGTGGTCTCAACCACGGACTGGCAACAGTCGAGTTGCGGGTTCGAGCCCTACCAAGGGTCCGAAGGAATGCTCGCTGCTGATGATTCCCGAAAGGATGAAACGCGCGTACAGCGCTTTCCGGGCGTGTGACGGCTGTCTGAGTGAGTCTAGATGTGAAGAATTTCTACCTAAACATTAAAAACACAGACCCGAATTTCCATATTACGCACAGTACGCCGGAATCAGCGTCCGTGTTTCAGAATTGGCGCACCCTTTTACATAACTTACCATGTTTTTGTGGAAGTTCAGTTTGCCCGTACTATGGTTGGTGGCACCCGGTTTCGGATTTGCCTGTCACTGTGACCAGCCACAGGACGCCTGCGCCTACAGACGGATCATGGTTGGCTTGCGCTGCACCACCCACTGCTCCAACCACATACCCCATATCCAGTGTAAACCCGAAGGAATAAGACCGGGACGCATGTGGATGGGGGCCACGTTTCATCAGTGGAGCCGGCCCACACTCCTTCACAGGCAAACACAAGCACACTGTATTTGGGAAATCAAGCGCACACAAGGCGGTGGCTGGACCGTAGTCCGCTCCACACTAAGTGCATGGAACCACTCTTCTAGCCTAGCACGACCACAAGGACCGTGCACCCCATCCCCTTCAGCAACGACCAACTGTCTCCTAGAGACAGTATGGACGAGGTAGTGGGTAATAGACAGGTAGGCACCTTGTCAACATGCACACCAAGCGTAGTCACACCGGGATGTCAAACAACAGCTAATGACTTGTAATGATATTACCAATAAATTATGCCTGTTAAAGCATACCTCTGTGCAGACATAACTCTTTACTAAATTAGCATATGAAGTAAGTTGGTTAGCAACGAATCCGCGATAAGTACAAACGTCCAGAGGTTACTCAAAAATGCTACAAACGCAATAAAGTTCACACAGATAACCACAGTTAGCGTAAGTAAGTTGACCAATTAATAGATTAGTCAGATTGACAGAACGAACCAAGTAAAATAGAACGATAATTAGCTAGCTTAAAGAGATATATTTTAAGTGTAAGTTGGTTTAGCCCGTACGATACAACCATTCTTAAGCTCATTTTCTGCAATGTTCACTCTTCCGCAGCCCCATGCACACCCAAGTTCGCTGAACAAATGGCAAATGTTCAACAGATGGCATCCGCTCCTGAGTTTTATTAAATGTTTTTCTTATATTCGACCAAGCTTTCCTAAATTGTATATGACTCACTGCATCTGCTTTACAACGCACGTAATTGCTAATATTAGCCCGTTTATCGTGTTTCCGGCTTACTTAGCTTTGATAACCAATATGTTTCCTGTCACGTTATATTTTAGCGAACTTCTTGTGGAAATTTATGGTTTTGTCAAGGTACGATTATCTCAAGCACTGTTTCAAATCGCAAGCTCAACTACGATGTTCAGAGGCCATGGACGGAAGTCAAATTGCCATTGATACCTGGATCACACGGAGAGCTTATATCACCTAACATTTGCTTGCATCCAGATTTACGATTCTCTTCATTTTTACCATGGGTTCTGCTGTTAAATTGACATTCTGAATTTCAGTGTTTAAGATGTTCTTTCCTTTCTCACTAAACGTGAAACTACCTTATCTGCTTGGGTTAACTCTATTCACTCACTGTTCTTTAATCAATATTAGACATTAACTATTCTGTCATTTTCGCTCCTTTCAACATGTCGCAGACCAAAAGCGCCTCATGTTGTTTAAAACATTTGTTGGAAAACGAATTGATGACGGAATCAAAATCAAACAATATAGGCCGTATAATCTCCCACTTATCTTGTGACCAAAGCGACGTGTAAACCCTTATTGGATTAAACACTGCAGCCCCACTATCCAAAACATCTTCTGGAACAGGCATAACCCGCTTTCATATAGTAGCTTTATGCTGTTATATAAAAAGCTGTAGGTTAAAAACAAGAAAATGAAATCGGGGCGGCCTACGGAGCATGTACTTCTTTAAAAAATGGTCATTGAGGATGTAAGTTGTTCTGTTTTTACAAACTTTTCGTGTCTTTTTCTATGGTATCGAAGTTAATGATATCCTCACCCAGTGGGTTGATATTTGTCACTTTGTTGGGCTCACTGCGGTTTTATCATGGCTGCCAAGCATTAATGCTCTTTTTGGTTAAAATATGCAATACAGTTGATCTGATGTTTTGGCTAGTCTTTGAGTCGTTTTCCTTCGCGGATAAGACACAAGTTTGTAAACGCATCTTCATGTGATTTGCAGTTGCAATCCATCAGTGAACCTCGCCAACTCATGCGACTGCCTAGGGATGTGAAAGTCGGGATGCAAATCAAGGAAACGAAAATCGGCAGCCCACACACTCTGTGAATGCGGTAGGGGCGCAGCACCATGAAGAACACTAGCACATCAATGTGCTGTGATTTTAAAAAGAAAATATACGGAGACTCCGAAGTGCAGAATGAGAAGAGCAACATAAATAATGTAGCATGGTTGGTCTCTAATCAGTGAAGTAGGGTAAAAATTAGGGACAAAAGTAACATACAACATTAAAGTTGCATACAAGATATTTGCTTGTTTAATAAGGATTATTAGGTGCTCACCGGCTGCGCTCTTACCACTGTCGTACGATTGTTTCAAACCCTCAGCAACTTCTGGGATCAAGTCCGCGGTAACTAAAACACATGTAAACGTTCACACAAATGGAGTGTCGATGTAGCATCAATTTATATTTGCAGCAGCGTTGATACATTGTTGTTCTGACGAGTGTGTAGAATGGAATAATTAATGTCACAACCTATCGCAGAAAATATAATGCGCCAATCACAAAGTGTACGTCTGACTATCCCTATATTACGGATGCAAATTATACAGTCGCCCATGTGAGTAGAATGGGAAAATATGTGATGTCACCCGAAAACACTTTTAGATTGCGTGACGCGAAAGTTGTCATCAAACTCCTCTCAATAAATAATTAACGTCCGCTACTACCACTTGAACTGCTTTTCGCAATTGTGATGTATAAACATGCAAATTTCATCTTATTAATGCTTTATTCCACTAGTGCCTCTTCATGGTCGCATTTTTAAACGATAACATTGCTTTTACTTTAGATTTGCACCCTTTGTCTGCCTCGTCATCTATGCAAATACACATAACATAATTAGTTTTGAAATCTGCAACAAGGTCAAAGTTATGACGGTTTTCACTCTATTCTCCTATTGCACGTAACCGCTTAATCGTTTTGGAGGAAGAGCATATCCGATAAGGGTACACCTTAATCCAAACCTAACTTCGTCAAACCACACCGGCTGTGAGTAAACTAAGTTAGACTGACCATGTGTGTGATTCGCGAACTTAACAGCTTCGTTTCTGTAAACCTATTTTATTTCTGCCAACACAAATCGAACTACCTTGAATTGCTAAATTCTGCTAAGAGCACAAACGACAAAAGTTATTTTCACTGAATTGGCCCTTTTAGATGCTTAGCATGTAAGTGGCTTTATCGAAATACCCTTAATCATAAGACCCATGACTGTCGCAATATTCAAGACTTAATTTTTCAGGAAAACGTTGTCAACAACGAGCAAAGACTTATCACGGCTAACATATTGGTTCCTTGAAAAGTCAAGCAGAATGCTAATGGCAAGAGTACACAATCAAGAGATATGCGAGCTGTTGTTTTAAGCGTCTAACGAACAGGTGTGCTACCGTTAAACACTGTTGTAAATTAGAACCTGATGCTAATAACACGACCACACAAGGGAAATTATCGCAAATATACTCCATGAGAAAGTGTATTTGACATTTAAATCCGACTAGAATGCATGATTATTCTATCCAAATTTCATTACCAACGAACTCTAAATATTAATAGTTCGTTTGCAGCTCTAACCCTGATATTTAATATAATTTGTTTTATTTCGTTTAAAAGATTAGAAAAGCAATCATTTGAATTTGTGGAATCTAATATGCTGTAGACAAATACAGAGATATTGCTGCTGAGGAAGCCAATGCGATGCTGATAATTGGCATGCAGTTGGGTCCAGTCAGCCTGTTCGAGTTTACGCATCATCAGTCTACAGCAGTGAAGAGTACCGGACAAGACGAGCCTTAATAGGGCGAAACGCGTCTGACGCTTTTCCGGACTAGGCTCTGCTTTGTAGCTTGTGAACTACTGGGATGAAAGCCTTATTAGAATATCAACTAAAATCCTGCTGCTCGTGAGTAATCTAAAATAAAAATAGCCTCTACTAGTTTCAATTGCTATAGATATAGCGTCTAGTGAGAGGACATCATAACCTAGCACGCTAACCAGGCTAATGAGTTACAGTGGTAGATAGGTGGTGCTACCTCCCAATTAGTTTTCTAATTATGTAGCCCAGCCAAAGTACCCCATGGCTCAGTGGCTTAAGCTGCTGGCTAGTGGGCATCTGCCTCTAGCGGTCATGTATTTGATCCTCCTTAGAGGACCGAGGGAATGCGCGCCACTGGCGAGCCCCAATAGGGCGAAACGCGTCTCGCACTTTTCTGGACTAGGCTCTGCTATGTGGTTTGTGAATTATTGGGATAAAAGCCTTTTAGAAACACAATTACAATTCTGTTACTGGTGAGTAATCTGATAACTCGGTTCACTTAGATAACATCATTTCGCTTCAAACAAGCGAAGTATATAACACAGAATACAAATGATTTGACAGCCAACGGTTGACCTTGTCGATGAAATGCATACATCTATTAACAATTCGTTATTCCACTAAAGCAGTAAGCTGTTAGTAAAGAATCACATCGCCATTGAAGCATTAGACATAGCTTACCATATAATAGCTTGATGTCACGGAAGAGCTTCGCAATGTTAACATATGTACTTTAATAACGCTACACAGATACTGCAACAAATCCTCATATTAAGCATTAATCCGTTCAGGCTACATAAATAAGTCATCATTTGTTCAGTCCAATTTAGCGCCTGTTCAGCCACCCTCTGAGCCAACCGACAGTTATTGCTGCCCATGTAAACGCCGCCTCAAATTAAGATGATCTGATAAACCACATGAGAGAACGAACTAGCCGAAGAGTAGCTTTGCTGGTCATAAAGGAAGAGTTTCCCATTAGTGTGCAGGAGGCGCAACTGTGCAGTCGTGTACGTGCGCCTTAGTAAAAACCTAAGCTTTTATCCGATGTCATTTCAACCATAATCTCCTTTGAACTGTAGTAACAGATAAACTGCCTTTATCTCTGCCGTTATCAACGGCTGTTTTATTTTTGGGGAGTCTGCTGTACACTTGGATTAAGTTTTTAGGATAACCATTGGACACTAAATATAATTATAATTATCCTTATCCAACACGCAGAACCTAAGCGAAGAATCGAAAATTATTCTCAGCTTCTCATCGTTATTAATAAACATTAATTGTAACAAATTTGTAAAGTTCATATAATATTAACAAATGCAGAATTACTTAGTTTAAGTCAGGGACGTAGTCTTACAAATGTGTCGAGACAAAGGTTACTGCCAAAAGATGGGACCAATGTGCATACGGATATGATAACATATAAAAAAGTTAGCAGACATTATGAGGCATTCTCTTGTGAGAACATTTAACACAGATCAAATCGATTTCCTTTTTATTGTAATAGTCCTACCTAGTTGACAGTAGCATAATGGAATTTAGAATTTTGCGCGATTACAAAAATATTTCCCTTGGACATTAAGGGCACTGATTCAATTCATCCCGACTCTTTGATAAATTGCCGCTGAACAATTTGTTGGACTCGTAATTAAGTTTTTGAAAACGTTTGCTAGCTTCCTGTTAAATTTATAATAGATTGAAGACGTAAATTGTCCGATTTCTGTAGCGTTTATTTTAATATGCCCACCGACTACGGGTGTAATTTTGTAAAAGCGTAGAATTCTTGCTGTTTGGAAACTGGCGACAAATTCGGTGGAACATCACCTAACTTGATTCCACTTGCCATGCGCAGCGCAACGCAGATTCCTCAAGTGAGCTTCGTGCGTAACATCTACGTTTGGGATCGTGAAATCTGATGTGAAGCGATAGATAGCGACCACGCCAATAACATGCTATCCGTGGAATTTTCAAACAACCTTAAAGCTTTCTACTCACCTATGTTCTAGATAAAATATTGAGTTCTTATGGGATTTTGGTGGACCTTTAAATTGCTGTCTGCGCTTTTGGAAAGAGCTGTCTTTTGCGTGAGAGGCAGCCTATCCTTTAGGCGAAGATTTCTTGATAATTTAACGCAATGCTCAGGTGTAGAACGTCCATTCTACCCATTTAATGTAAATGGTTATTCGTTAGATCTTGGCGCGCCATCTGTGACCTTTGCTGACAGTAGCAAGCACGGGACTTAAAGCTATTCAGAGTATCTTGCATAGGCTTAGGCACCGCCCCAATTGTTCTGCTCTCCGAATCTGAGCTGATAACTGTGCAAAACGACAAGTTATCGGCGGAGTTGAATTCCTCGTTTTCCCTTAACAATCATATTGAGGTGTATCATCAAATACAACAGAAGATTACTTGCAGGGAGTTTCCTATGAGGTTTCATCAGCCACATATGAATATTTTAACAATACATGTCTTTGCAAAACAATTAAAGGCTTTCGCGCGACCTCAATTAAATTTCGTGTTAAATATTGTCTACTATGTCTTGTCTGATAACCATACTTACTTATAGTTTTTTGGACAATCAATAAGTTACTACAGGAATAATGGGAAAACCGTTTCCTGCTATGTCGCTTCGTTTGGGGTTGTACTCAATGCATTAATGCTGTATGAACAGTAACGTGATCACAATTATCTTTATTCAAATGTGAATGATAATTCCAGACCTATCTTGGATAATTGTTGATGGTAAGTTAATTAGACTCTGCATTCACCCATTACAGCTGCACAAAGCGCGGTCTGATCGGATTAGGATGCAAACACTTTTGTCTCACGCAGCTATAAAGCTATGGAATTCACTAATATGTCAAACATTTATGAAACCTACGGTCAAAAGTATAGATCATTAACTCAATTTTCCTGGGTAGTAAAATTGTACCTTTCCTTTCTCCTAACTGAATCCTATATTCTGCAATTTCGTAATTCGTCAAATAGCTTGGTTTATATCTAGTTAGTTTCGTTTTATCTCTAGTCTTCTTTTCTATAACATCCTCGTTCACTAAATTGCATAAATTTAAGTTCATATGGTAAGTGCTTTTGTTTTCGACCTCTTACACCGTCAGAGATGACTACAGATGTGCAACTGTTGGAAGTGTTACACAGTGAAAAAGGAATTTGTAGATTGCCGCATTCACTTCTATTGCAAAAAAACAAAGCCCTTTACATTAGATAAGGATGCATGACTCTGTGACAAATACGAACACAACGAATTAAGAGGTTATTGTAGGAACACCCATATTTAGCTTAACGAGATTGAACTGTTGTCAATGAATGTCGTTTGTTAGTAAACGACCTATAATGTATTATCCAGGAATTGAACATATTTTATCGACGCATAAATACAAAAGCAACAATAGCTTATTACATTTCAGAAAAATAGACTCACCAACAGCGAAGAAACTACCAACCATAAGTACTACATAGACGAGGTAACTCTTGGTATCCATTTTGTTCTGAATAGTTTATTTCAGTGCTCACTTGGTATTTCCTATCTGTTTGTGGCATATATATGCCGTTCGATATATCGTTCATTTACCATTCTATTGATTATCTGATTGTGTCTGTTATTTGGTTAATCAATCCCGTGCCATAGGTAACTATGAAAATCAATCCCAAATAAAAAGCAGACATGTTGTTTTCATATCCGAAGAAATGTTGCCTGCAAAGGATTGTGAATGGTTTCGGAAACACCGCTAAGTCGCTCCCCTGGGCGACATCGATCTCACTGCCTATTTGTTAAGATGGGCTAAGTATTAGTTGTTTTGCTCCTTCAGACAAATCCGGTTAGTCTTTGTTAACTGAAAATTCCTAATGTGTATTTCACAATTGCACTATCGAAAACCATGAGAAAAGTCCACTATAATTTCTCGTTAACGAGCAGCAGTCTACTTGGTTTAATTTCGGCTTTAAAAGTTGTAGATATTAACGGAATGTTGCTTCTATTATAGAAAAATTACACCACTAAAGGGAAATATGTTTTCACTGAACCTCATGTTTAACGCCTTGATTTTCGTTCCTACAATACCGTCAAACTGGTCTTTTGTGTATTGTCCATCAAATATTTGCCAAACACCACTGGGTTTACGTTAATTGGACCAGGATTTATCAGCTACCAAAGGTGGAAATTTTTTGCATAATTCTTATGCCTCAAAGGTCGATAGAGGTCTGTGTTTTTGAAGGATGTTTTCTGATATATCTATGCGAAAAGCAGCGCGGTTTTCAGTTATATTTTAGGAATTTACCTACGTTCAAAAGCGGTCCGGAGGTGATAAATGATTAGAAATTGGGCATCTTCAATACCATTTGCTATTGTTCATCTTTCGGTATGTTGTTTCTCGTACGGAGTTTAATCGGAATTAATTAACATCCCAATCACTCTTCATTATTTAATACCTATATGTCCAATAAGCCGGCATAACACATTACACGAACCGCGTATCCATGCAGTCCGCTCGTTTGACCGTAATCACAATGTTCCCCTGACCCAAGTACGCCGCTATCAAACATGTAAGCGTACGAATATCAGTAATTCACTGGATCAAGTAACGAAACTACAGTGGATGGCAGAAATCAAACAAATGTGAATACAAGAGGGTTCCAGGCGAAGGGAATATGCCGATTACCTACAGACTTCCGCAGTGCTGAAGTAATTTGTTTTCTCCACGCGTGTGTTATCCGAAGAAAAATATCGCCGAATCGGTCAATTGTGCACATATAAATGATATATTTAAAATTTGGGTGGTTTAGGCCCTCCGCCACCAATTTTCTTTTACTCGAAATTGTAATTCGTCCAACTACCAGGATATAATATATGGTTATTAATAGGCGCTAAAGAATCTATGGAAGGGCATTTCGTATAAGGATAAATAATCAAATGCTATATATTAAATCATTTGAAATATAATCCAGCAAACTCATTATTTGTAAAAACGCCTTACAATTACGAAGATTACTAGCTTGTCAAAAATATAATAATTTATTAGGTAAATCAAAAATCGCGTAAATAAATGTCACTTAATTCTTATAAACAAATTGCTCCATGTTCCTGTAACAGCAGTCCAACTAGCCATGAACCAAAATTCTACTCGACAAATTGATATCCCAGGCAAAACATAATTCCTGCTCACCTAATGCGCTTATTCCACTCACGGTCATATTCTGCGTAATCCCAACATTTTCTATTGTCTTGACCACGGAAGCGGCTACATTCAGACGGAGCAGCATAGTTTGCATATTCCGTGGTTTGCATGAATGGAACATTGAGGTTTCAGCAATCATTATAACTACGTCCGCATTCAATGAGTATTTGCTTTGTTAAGTGAGTTAAATTGATGGTTAAATGCGTATTGACAAAAGTCCAATTTGATGGGTGCTCGACTTGACAACATAAATATTTAAAAATAATGGCAGCAAAATCGACCTTGGTCGATGTTGCCTATAGTGATTAATATGTGCTTGTTCAAAACATAAGCCGTTATGGTGCGACATTTAGAATAAATCGAACAATAAAGTACGAATACAAATAATGTAATACTTCTGTATTTATTTGTTTAACTAAAGTTAAATGTTTCATCACATAAGTAGAAACTGCAATGTGCAGATATACTCACCAGACAAACTGTTCCAAATCTCCGTCGAAGAACTCCATGTGGACGCTGTGAATGTTGGCTGCAATGCTCTGTCGGATGTATCGCTTTGAGCTGTAAAATATATTAAAATATTTGCTGCGCAATTTGGAAGCACAATTCATGTGAACTGTATTCCGCTTCCACAGAAGTATAGACTTTTACCTCGCGAAGCATACTATGCTAATGGAAGGACCTCTCTACTGCATAACATGCCAAAATAAAACAGAAATTAAAATACAAAAAATATTTATGTGTACGTGCGCTTACAACTTTATATCAAATAAACTTTCAGTAGATTAACTTAAGAACGAAAGAGGCGAAATTAAATGCACACTGAAGTATCGTCGCTAAATATCGCAGATAAATAAAGAATAACGATCAGTAGTGCATAAGGAATATTACAATCTATCCATATTCCCAATTATGGCTTATGGGATAGTGTTTACTACATCGTTACTTAAGTCACTTGACAGAAATAATCAAATATTTGTTTTGAGAGAATACGCAGCTTTACAGTAAAAGCAGCGGTAAGAATTTAATCTAACACGTCAACGTTTAACGTTTTTAATCACGAGTTCTTTGCGACGCAAAAGATTTTACAATGAATACTTATATAACGGCTGGCAATTCAGAGCGATGTGAGCACACTAGCGAAAATAATTTTTGTACCTTTTATAAAGGCATATATCGTTATATCTTCGGATATGCTTTCCTAAATAGTCGCAGAATATCATGAAGCAGCTAATTTATTCTTTGAAATATACTCTAGCCTACTAACTACAGCTGGGTTCCTGTACGTAATGCATGTTATAATTTGGTAACTGTGCATTTATGCAAAGCATCAGGAAGAAAGCTACATTCAAAGGCTCTGATCATGCGTGATGGTGTGTCTGTCAGTAAGGAGGATACTGCTAGCTATGGTTAGTATCTACTACGCTTTTGAGCCATTTACACTGAATTCAATCATTTTTATTACTCCTCTACCTAAATGGCGAATGTATGTAGTCAAGTCTGGTAAGCAAGCCCAGCAATTCGTGCAACATTTTCCACTATCCCATAATATAATTGTCACGTAGAATTACTTCCGGTTGCTAGCATTTTACATAGCGGCATAAAACGGTTTCTGGGAAAAGGAAGATGCAATATGCACATCCAGCTCCGTGGCGTTTATCGGACTACTTCTACAAGCTGCGTGTAATAATTCGCGACATCATGCACAACATCAACACCATTTGGCAACATCAGAATATTTCTCTCATGATTGACGGCAGGTAGCGGGGTTTGCATTTGCTAGTGAAAGCAGGCATTTACATGTCCACCCATTCTGTGTCAATCCATTGATATATGTAAGGATGATTCTTGAAACATGGAATGTTGTTGCGCTGCCTCTTTCAACTGAACACAGTGGTGAAATTTGCTGATAATGCTGCGAATGCTTCTGCTGCAGGCAACCTATCAAGGTGCCGGGATTTATAAACTACGTGAAGTCAATTGGTTCCATTGCAAAATGACTGATAGCGAAATGATTGCATATTGTTCCTTTATATAAGGATGTGCTTGACAACAGGATTTAAGCAGTGGTGATAATGCCCCAAGGCTAAAAGTACTGAACGCATGATCGCAGCTGGTAAAACGTATAAAATTTAATGACATAGCGTACGTTACAAATATCAAGGTTTGGACGATGCGGCATCATCCCAAGAAAAAGCAAGCAACGGCCGACCTCCCATCAGTCAGCATGCCAACACCATTCATACAATTATCTCCCCGTGATCTCCGAGATATACGGAATCAGGTCTGCTTTGTACCAGGGTTTAAGACATTTCCAATAAGGTGGTTAAATGTAAGGTCGCCAAGAGATGAATAGTTTTACGGATATATGATTGCACACAGAATGAACGGACGTTAAAGACCCGCTGAAAAGAATGGCACTCAAATGACTAGAGAGAATTAAGAATGCTGGAGTGATAAGTATATTATAGCAAAGCGAACTACAATGCAAGACCGTTGATTGTTCAGGCTTATTCTTCGACATATCTAAGTAAATGACAGAGACACCCAAACTATAAGCGGTGTACCGCACATAGAATACTACACCCATCGTAAATTGCCAGCCAGCGACTGTTTTAATATGCAGCCAACAGTGCATGTACATCCATTTCCTTATCATGTGTGTGTTAGCGAGCACATTATTTAACCCACTACAATATTCAGAGAAAGATTGCTTACTGATCTGCAAGAGCTCCCAACCAATGTTCAAATATATATTAACGTCATTACGCCCAGACTTTTCAAAACAGATAATTGGCCATCGTTTCTAGATTTTCGGTTTATTAAAGGGGAAAATTTGATTGATATATTCGTAGTAGACTGCCGTTGCTACGTAATAATCATGCAGTCATTAGGTTCGAATTCTTGAATATGCAGAATATGGTCACGATAACCCTGTGCTTGCATGCAGCACTAAACTCTAAGATCCGTTCGAACAGCCAGTCAGTTCGAACACCTAGTTGATTATCGCTGAAGGCCACCCGAATGATGATTGTCTCGAATTCGTCAACAAATACTATCACTTGGTTACGGAAGCTCCGAGGACGATAAATTCAGTGAGGCTAAAACTGTTTCCTTCTTAAGGAGCTGAACTACACATTGGAGGACGGTACGCAACGCAGACTGAGGAGAGTAAAGGCAATTACCAACGCCAAATAATTGTGATAAATAAGTAATCACCGTAACCACTGCACTCTACTGCTCTGATATGATCACTTCGCATACTAGCGGAA